ATATTAGCCATTGTTTGTACAATAAACTTGAAATCGGATTAAGGATATTAAGGAGCTATATCCAAGTCTTAGCCGATCTCGATAAATCTTGGCAAAGGTATTTCCGAGCTCTATAAGTTATCTTATACTAAATATCATTGTTTTCGAATTCATACTACGAAAGTGAGGGTCTTAGGACCCAAAATCGGATGAAACATATATATGGGAGCTAATGCTATATCTGAACCGATTTTCTCAAAATTTGGTGTAGCTGCTTCTAGATTGAATTCGGTCGGATGTGCCCAAAATTCAGGACTTTTGGGCAGATATTGGCCATTTGGTGCCCAAAAACCTAAAATCGGACGAGATATATATGAGAGCTATATCCAAATCTCAACCGATCTTAGGATAAGATATTTGAAGAATATTTGGGATCTATATCCAAGTCTTAGCCGATCTCGATAAAACTTGGCAAAGGTAATTCCGAGCTCTACAAGGTATCTGGTATGCATATTACGAAAGTGAGTGTCTTAAAACCCAAAATCAGATGAATCATATATATGGGAGCTAGTGCCGATTTTCTCAAAATTTGATGTACCTGCTTCTAGACTGAACTTGGTCGGATGAGCCAAAATTCAGTCCATTTGGGCTGATATTAGCCATTTGGTGCCCAAAAACCTAAAATAGGATTCAGATATATATGAGAGGTATGTTCTCATCTGATCTTATCTCAATAAAATTTGATAGAGGTATTTCTGGGCTGTGTCTGATATCTGGTACCAAATATCATTATTGTAGAGTGAATATTACGAATGTAATATGTAATGTAATAAAATCGGATGAAACATATATATGGGGGCTATCGCTATATCTGAACCGATTCGCACAAAATTTGAACCATTTGTTTCTAGGATGAATTTAGTCGGAATCGCCAAAATTCAGTCCATTTCGGCTGATATTGACCATTTGGTGCTCAAAAACCTAAAATCGGATAAAGATATATATGGCAGCTATATCCAAATCTGAACCGATCTTGACCAAATTTACGACACTTATTTTAGAGCTGTATCTGATATCTGGTACCAAATATCATTCTTGTGGGATGCATATAACGCATGTGGGGGACTTAAAACCCCAAATCGGATGAAACATATATATGGGAGCTATAGTTATATCTGAACCGATTTGTACAAAATTTGAAGTACTTTCTTCAAGACTGAATTCGGTTGGATGTGCCAAAATTCAGGTCATTTGGTGCACAACAAAACGGATATCGGATAAAAATATATATGTGGGAGTTATATCCTAATCGGATCCTGTCTCAATAAAATGTGATAGAGGTATTTCTGGGCTGTGTCTGATATCTGGTACCAAAGATCATTATTGTGGAGTGCATATTATGGTTTAGCTTGTGGAGTGCTATGAACCGATTTTCACCGATTTCTAGATTTAATTCGGTCGGATGTGCCAGAATTCAGGACTTTTGGGCAGATATTGGCTATTTGGTACACAATTAACCCGAAATCGGTTGAGGATCTATATGGGAGCTATATCAAAATTTGTATCGATTCTCACCAATTTTAATCGGGTTCGTCCTTGGGTCAAACAAATATTACTTGGAAATTTTCATTTCAATCGGATAATAAATGCGACCTGCATTTTGTTTACAAAAATACATGGACAGACGGACGGACGGACTGGAATGCATAAATCGACTGAAAAAGTGATTCTATGAAGATCCTCAAAAGTAACTATGGGCCTATTTCTCCTTTTCCACCATGGGGTGTAGGGTATAAAAACTCTGGAGTTAGTCGGGAATTTGAAGTAAGGAAGAGAGAGACAGACTAATGGTCTTGACTGTTTATGAAAATGTCTCTCTTACTTTGTCCTCTTACTGGCTACTCGTTATCTCTTCTCTCTATGTAGTTATGGTTTGGGGCTTCTGGTTAAGCATGTGCAACGATGCGAAAGCTGACCCAGAATCCCCATGAAAAACTGCCTTATCAACTTCATCTACACCAAGGGTGAGACAAATGAGAGCGTAGTTCAAGACATTCAAAGCGTCAATCGGACGAATTAAGTTCCAGCATTTGCCTTGGATTTATTTCGGTAAGATTTCATCCCATGTACTCAGGTTTAGGAATGCTGCAACCAGAACAAAAAATTAGGTTCTGAAAAATTTTATTTCTTCGAAAAAAAAAAAAAAACAAAAAAATCCTTTTATGTTGACAACTACAGAAGTTTGAGTATACCTGCTAATCGTTTAAGAGAAACTTTGTATAACTGCCAGAAAATATTCTTAGATATTTCAAATCAAATTTGTTCAACTTCTTTTCCATTTTTTTTAGAAAAAAATAATTTTTTATAACCACTTGCTTAAATGTATTTAACCATCAAAAATAGTTAAAAAGATTCACCTATTTTAAATTCACCTATGAGTATTTTCATTTACCTGCCACTTAGGTATTATGCGATAGTTGCCACAGACATTATTTTCCAAAATATTAAAATTCCATATTTTTAAAGAAATCCTAAAATTGAGTACTAGTCTTAAGAGACAAAATGTGAAGTTGAGTACTACACTTAGGAGCCATTTAGGTGGCAGGTAAACTAATGGCATAACTGTGTACTATTTCTAACAGCGACGAAGTGAAATTAATTACAAGGCTTAAGAAACAATTCTGTGCTAGTCAGCCGTTTTCGATAACGGCTACATTTTTAATTTTTAAATACACAAAATATGTGCGAATTGCGCTTAACTGCCACAAAATGTGTCTAACTGTGGCAGGTAAGTAAAAACCACTGCAATAAAAGAAAAAATACCTTTTCAAATTTCCCATGGTCTAAAAAATTCTATTTTGTCATTGAAATTCTTACCGGAAGTTAAGCATTATACTTGAAAGCCAATTATGTGGCAGGTAAACTAATGGCATAACTGTGCTCTATTTGTAAGAGCCACAAAATGAAATTGAGCGCTATGCTTAAAAAACAATTCTGTGCCGGTCAGCCGTTTTCGTAACGGCTACATTTTTAATTGTTAAATACGAATTGCATTTAACTGCCACAAAATGTGCTTTACCATGGCAGGTAAGTTAAAATCATTGCAAAAATAGAAAAATATCTATTTAAATTTCCCACGGTGTAAGAAATTCTACTTTGCCATTGGAATTCTCAACTGAAGTTGAGCATTACACTTAAGAACCAATTATGTGGCAGGTAACCTAAATGTACAACTGTGCTCTATTTGTAAGAGCCACAACATGAAATTACTTAAAAAGCAATTCTGCGCCCGTCAACCATATTTTGATAACGGCTATATTTTTAATTGTTAAATAAACAAAATATGTGCGAATTGCTCTTAACTGCCACAAAATGTGTCTAACTCTGGCAGATAAGTTAAAATCATGGTTAAACATAGAAAAATACCTATTTAAATGTCCCATGGTGTAAAAAATTATATTTTGTCATTGCTTGACTTCCTTTGTTGCGCAGCATTTGTGGGCTATACAATTTGGCTCCCCTGCTGTTGTGATTTGATTTTGATTTGAAAATGCAATAAATAATTACTATTTTGGTGGTGATGTCTTCTTCGAATGATAAGATTGCACCGATTCTGTTCATTGATATTTTGTTTTTTTTCAAAATTTCAAAATTAAGAATTGAAAAAAAAATGAACTACAAAAGTGTTTTGTTTTTTAGGTTTGTTTTGCTCTAATAGTTTTGAGACGTTTTTATGGTTATTTTGGATTTTTTGTTGTTGTTGTTGCTACTCTTCAGAGACTAGTTGGAGAATCGGTGAAGCGTTTCTTTGAAACTTGGTTGTTGAATGGAGGAAGAAATAAAATTATTTTGAAAATAATATCACCAATTTTGAGTTAAGTTTTTTTTCGATATTTTTTCGAGTTTAATTAAATGAAGAGAGGTATAGTTAAAAAAAAAATTTAAAAAAAAAATATTGAAAACTTAAAAATTGGAAAATTAGAAAATATGTTATAGCCAATTGCAAAATAGGTATAATTGAACTGAAAAAAATAATTTTAAATATTTTTTAGTTTTTTTTTCGAACCACACAAATCAAAAAAATTTCTATGGAAAATAAATTTTGAATATTTTTTTTGGTAATATAAACAAATATTTCAAATTCATAACTCAATTTCAAAAATACAATACTTAGACTAGCCAATGGACAGGTGGACAGGGTTAGGATGAACATCAATTGCAAAAATTGGAATTAGAACTTATTCAAAATGGCCCCTTAGAGGCCTGAGGTTCCTCATAACCCTGTTCAACTGGGATTTTTTTGTTTTTTTGAATATTTTTTTTTAAATTTTTTTTTGGGTTAAGGTTATGTATATATACACACAGATCTAATTTAGGTAATTATTGTTGTTGTAATATTTTTTGGAAAATATAATTTTTTTTGCTTTGCGGAAAAATAGGGGGTTATGGTTTAACTGCAGCTTTCTACTTTCCAACTTAAGAACGAAAAAATAAAATTAATCAAATTTTTTATTTGAAATAATTTTTGAATTCTGGAAATTCTTTCAAAAAAACTCCAACCAGAAACATAACAAAAGAAACAAATCAAACCAAAACAGAATCAAAAAAAAAAAAAAAAACAGAATTTACAACTTCATGGTGATAAGACGGTTTTGCGTTTTAATATGGGTTTTTTTGGAACTAATCTTTCAACTATGATTAAATTACGTTTAATGCAAAAATCAAATTTTTTTAATTTTTTTAAAAACTATAAGGTATTTGTTGTTGTTGATTAGCATTTTGTTCAAACAAATGGTTGTTTCTGTATTTTTTTTTTTGAAAAAGCCTCTAAAGTGATGTGCTTTCTGTTGGGTTTTCTTGTTTGTTTTCGGGGGCTAAGGGGGGTTAAGGGTAATATATGGGGGGCAGTGAAATAGGGGGAATTTGGCTAAGTCATTGTTTTCGTGTGTATGTGTGTGTGTGGGTGTTTGGAAAGACTATGCATTTGAGTTTTGGCCACCCAGGCAATCAACTAAACTTACCTTATCGGGCACGGGAACATCAGCAGAACGGGGAGGATCTTCATTGATTGGCGGCTCAGTGGGTGGCAAACGTTGTTCCTGGACACTGGCCAATCTGAAAATGTGAAAAAGCAAAGAAATTTTCGAGAAAATCAAAACTGAAATACAACAGCATTTATGCAAGTCATCATCCTCAACATCACCATTGGAATAAGGCCCTGAGCAAAAGGTGAGTAATGTTAAAGTTTATTTTTGTTTTTTTTTTTTTTTTTTTTTTTTTTTTTTTTTTTTTTTTGGAATTTTGTTTCCTCTGCCCCCAGTTAACCTTAAATTCATTAATTTCTTTTTTTCTCGATTTCAATCAATGTTTGAATTTAATCAAGCCATAATTGTCTTGTAGTTTTAATCCGACACATAAATAGTTGTTTCCCAATATCACAAAAAAAAAAAACATTGTTTTGTTGTACAAATGCAATTTTGCAAGGCCACAACATAAATATCAAAATTGGATCCAACAAAAAAAAAAAAAAAAAAATAAAATAGGAATTAACTGATTCCAAACATTTGAGTTTATAATAATAAAACAAGCAAAAAAAGAAGTTCGACCGGGCCGAACTTTAAATACCCTCCATAATTTGGAGCGAATTTAGAAATTTTCAAAAAAAAAAATGCGTTAAAAATTCTGTTAAAATCTGAAAAATATCGAATATGGCTGTGATATAATTGGTCTATACCAAAACACGAAGTGCAAATAGGAATTTTAAAATAATTCCGGTGAATAATGTCGTTAAAATTATCAAAATACCAAATATAGGGAGGTACCGCTGTATATGAGAAGACCTGGACGTGCATAAGCAACTTTTTTGATATAGGTTGTAGTATTTAGTGGGAACTTCAAATACGCAATTATAAATAATTCCGGTAAATAATGTCTCTAAAAGCCTCAAAATACCGAATATCGGGAGGTATCGTAGTGGAGAAGAATAGAAAATTTTCCATCATAGATTGTATAACCCATTTCGAATCTCAAATACAAAATTTGAAACAATTCCGCTAAAAAATGTAGCTAAAAGCATCAAAATGCCGAATATTGGGAGGTATTGTTATATGAGGGCTATACGAAGACCTGGACCTGCATAGGCAATTTTCTGTCACAGGCTGTAGTACCCATTAGAAACTTCAAATACGAAATTTGAAACAATTCCGGTCTACAAATGCCTTAAAAACCATTAAAATACCGAATATCGGGAGGTAAGTAGTGGAGGAGGACAGAAAAATTTCCGTCATAGGTTGAAGTGCCCCTTATGAACTTCAAATACGAAATTTTAAACAATTCCGGAAAATAATGTAGCTAAAATAATCAAAATACCGAATATCGGGAGGTATCGCTACATGGGGGCTATACGAAGACCTGGACCTGCATAAACAATTTTCTGTTACAGACTGTAGTACCCATTAAGAACTTCAAATACCTAATTTGAAACAATTCCGTTAATTAATGTCGATAAAATTATCAAAATACCGAATATCGGAGGTATCGTTAAATGGGGGCTATACGAAGTAGTGGTGCAGAGTAGAAAATTTTCCGTCATAGATTGAAGTGCCCCTTACGAAGTTCAAATACGAAATTTGAAACAGCTTCGATTAATAATGACGCTAAAATCATCAAAATACCGAATATCGGCGGTACCGTTATATGTGGGGTATGCGATATTGTGGACCTATATAGACAATTTTCTTTCAGGAGGTAAAGTACTCCCATAGAACTCCTTGTGTATAAGTTTAGATAATTCCATTGAAAAATGTGGCTAAAATCATCAAAATTCCGAATACCGAGGGATATCGTTGTGTGGGGCCCATACGATATAATGGACCCATATATAGCCCATATTCGAACTTGTCCCGCCTGCAGACTAAAGACTGATCGGTGCAAAATTTTATCTTCCTATCTTAATTTGTTTTCGACTCTAGCGTGATTACAACGGATGGACAGACAGACGGACGGACGGACGGACGGTTGGGCGAACAAGGCTAAATCGTCTTGGAATGTTACGCCGATCAAGAATATATATACCTGGTTATGTCTAAAATTATTATTTATGATGAGATTATTATTTATGATTTAGATGAGTTTCAAACGGAATGACGAACTTAATACACCCTACATACCATGTATGGTGGAGGGTATAAAGAAGTCAATTACTTTACCCCACACTATTTGCAAATACAATTTGGGTCAATTTTGGGACTTCCCGAAGTCCCTAAATGCAAAGACAGAATATTTTTGTCTTCTGGGATTTCTTCCAATACCTGAATCTACATCAAATAATTCATGTGGAGTCAGGTCGTAATATAGCCAATCAAGAAGTCCGTAAAATATAAACCCTGAATCAGAAGTTTGAAAATTGGACGTGGTTATTGCCAAATCAACTACGAGAAATAAGAGGCTTGCGCTGGATTTAAGGCACGCGTGCTCTCAACGAGAGCAATTCTCTTTACACTCTCACTGAAAATCAAGGATATAGAGAAAGCAAAGAAAACGTGAGTTATTGGAGAAACAAGTGGAAGAATTTCACTCCGAATTGGACAAAGAGCGGATACAACGTCAGGCTGTCGGAAGATCGGGTAGAGAAAAGAGAAACATAATATCAAGGCAATAGGCTCGTTCTTCAGAAACTTCACTTCAGTTCGAATTTGGAAAAAGAGGGAAAAGACCAAGTTCACTGTGGAGACTAGACAGCAGAACAAGATATTTAGTAGGAAGGTGTTTGCAGACCATGATATCACATGTTAAAGAAAAAAATGTACGCCCTCTAACATGCCAGGAGGTCTCGAAATCTCGGTTAAGAAATGAAAAAGTCCGACAAAGCATGTGGGACCTTCAAAAGAGATCGACTTTTACATGCCCAAGGATGCAGGAAAAGGCTTGATACCAGTAAAGACGATAAAATTTGCGCGGAACTGTTGAAGTAGGCATTTTCGGATACGAAACCATAATTCTCTAGACAGCTATTGTTTACTAAGACACGTATGACCGATTTTTCTGCAACCGAGAGCCGTTCGGAAAAAGGAACTTAAATAAGAGAAACGATGCCGAGAAAATTAAAGTCACAAATGGGCGATTGCTTTCGACAGAGAAAGAGCAAATAATCCGATGTCTGTAAAATGAAGCTGCTAGAATAAGAAAGCTTGATTGGCCTCAGAAAGATCCAGACGATACATGAAGAAAATTCTGCAGGGAAGTTGAAGCCGGCAGAAGGAGCAAACTTTAATTGACATAAAAAGACGACAAATGAAGATGATTCAGCAGGGTAGTTGAAGCCTGCAAAAACTAAGAAGGTGGAAACTTCAAGAGGGAGGAGTAACTGGGCTACCCTTTGTAGAAGGGAGAGATTTTAGTTAAACAGAGATCTCGAGGCTATGTTAGTTTCAGTCATATTATCATAAGAAGTTCTTAAACCCCAAAGATATGCTATAAAAATATTGAAGATAACCTTAGGGTGACGTGGAAAGTGAGTTTGTTTTATACAGCATTTTTAAAGCATACTTTCAGGTTCACCCAACATATTTCAAATAAACAGCGTTATTCTTTTCAAAAAATTCTTGGAAACGCCTAAAATTATGCTATAAAAACGTACACATATACTACAACCTTGCCTTTATCCGTAATTTTTCAACTCACCTCTTCAATGTCACCAAAGTACCAGTTAACTTTTTGCATCTTCTCAAGGCCGATTCCAAGCGATCGGGTTCTTCTTTTAGGAACTTTTCTTCTCTGACGACTTTTTCCATTTCATTCGATAAAATGCAGCGCAGGCCATTGGACAAAGCGGGGAATTTCATTTTCAATTCGGCAACGGTTTTACTAAAAAAAGAGAACATTCTTATTAGTTTCTAGTTTTCCAACTAAACCCCCTCCTTCCCCACCTTGCTCTGCTCAGCACCAAAGCCATATCTTCCACGGCCGTCATATTGACTCTTGTCCTACGATTTATGACCTCTCCCCTTAGACTTTCCACCGATGACTCCAGATCACTTAAATCCTTTTCCAGACGTATAACTTCCTGCTTGTACAGCTCCTCCTCGCGTGATATCCGTGTGGCATCCTGATCCTGATGACCCCATATGCTACCGCTGCTGGCCAGGAGGGTGGCTCGAATACGCATAAATGTACTTTTGATGTCTTCCCTTACGGCCACTGCCTGGGCCTGGGACAGACGTCGCAGGGTCCTGACCTCGGTACGCAAATCTTTTGCCTTCTTTTGCAGGCCCCTCAAATGATTATAGACCTCCGGGGCCAGGGCAATATCGGCACGATAATTATTGTGGGCGGTTTGGGCCAATACCATGGGTTTGGGAGGTGGTGGCGGTTTAAGGCGATCTCGTTCTAGAGTGCGGGGGAAGGGAAAGAAAAGGCATCATGTTAGTATCTCAGGATCCCCTTTTTTAAGGAGTAGCAGAAGCTTCTACACCAAAAAAGTGTAAAATAGAAGGAGAGGCGTGTCGTTTTCGATATTAACCTTGGCTCTTACCTTGTGATGAGGTTCTTGGCAAAGTGGAGGATTTTATGGCTGGTTTTGTGGGCTTGGTATCAGCTTTATAACGAACGATTCACGGTTCGGAAGTTTTGTTGTTGTTATAAAACACAGTTCTTCATTATTTTTGTTATAAATATTTATTTCGAACATTCAAATCAAAGAAAACACTGATTGGCGGATTGGAAATATTGGGGAGAAGGGGTCGCATGCACTAAACTAATATTTTTTGGAGGGAGGAAAAGTTTTTTCTTGAAAGTTTAGTCTACGAAAGAAGCATAGATTTTTGGCAGGTTTCAAGCTATTGAAATGGGACCACAAACTACTAGAAGAGGCCTGATATCCTGGACTAATATGGGGAGTTGATGGCAAATAATACAAATTCGTAACTTAAGCGCAAGAGGTAGAATTCAAACATGCAATACTGGAATATAAGAGCAGGTCAACAAAAAAGGACGTGGAGGTCTTTACAGCATCATAGGGGTTATATAGAAGACCCCAGGGCCACAAAGAACCTGACAACCAGGAAGACACTGTAGCCCTCTATATAGCCACGAAGACCCTAGTCGGCCAAGAAAACCCTGAGGTCTTCTACCCAGCCTAGAAGCCTCTGAAGAATTCTAGACTGTCCAGAAGAGACTGTGATTTTGTAGGTGGCACGGCAGCTGCTGAGGTCTTCCAGACAGCCAAGAAGACCCTGGGGTCTTCAAGAGAGCCTTGGGGACCCTGAGGTCTCCAAGGCAGCCCAGAAGACCCCGGGATGCCCCAGACATTCCAGAAGTCCACGGGGTCTTCTAGAAAGCCAAGAAGATCCTGGGTTCAGAAGACTCTAGGGTCTTCCAGACAATCAAGAAGACCCTGAGGTCTTTTAGACAGCGTAGAAAACACTGGGGTCTTCTAGACAGCCAAGAAGACCCTGAGGCCTTCTAGACAGCCCAGAAGAGCCTGAGGACGTTTAGGCGTACCAAAAAAGCCTGAGTTATTCTAGATGACCCTGAGGTCTTTTAGACAACCCCGAAGACCACTGGGTCTTCAAAACTGTCCAGAAGACTTCTAGGCTTACAGGACAGCCTACAGGTCTTCTGGAGAGACTAGAAGACCTAGAAGTCTTCGGAACAGCTCAGAAGACCTCCAGGTCTTCGAAACAGCCTAGAAGACCTCCCGGTCTTAGGGACAGCCTAGAAGACCTCCAGGTCTTCTGGACAGCTTAAAGACCCTCAGGTCTTTTGGATAGCCTAAAGACCCTCAGGTCGTTTGAATAGCCTAGAAGACCAACAGGTCTTCTGGACAGCTCAAAATAGCCTGGAAAGCCTCTGGATAGCCTAGAAAACCTCCAGTACTGCTGGATAGCCTAGAAAACCTCCAGTACTGCTGGACAGCCCAGAAGACCTCCAAGTCTTCTGGACAGCCCAGAAGACCTCCAAGTCTTCTGGACAGCCCAGAAGACCTCCAAGTCTTCTGGACAGCCCAGAAGACCTCCAAGTCTTCTGGACAGCCCAGAAGACCTCCAAGTCTTCTGGACAGCCCAGAAGACCTCCAAGTCTTCTGGACAGCCCAGAAGACCTCCAAGTCTTCTGGACAGCCCAGAAGACCTCCAAGTCTTCTGGACAGCCTAGAAGACCTCCAAGTCTTCTGGGCAGCCTAGAAGACCTCCAAGTCTTCTGGACAGCCTAGAAGACCTCTTAGTCTTCTGGGCAGCCTAGAAGACCTCCAAGTCTTCTGGACAGCCTAGAAGACCTCTTAGTCTTCTGGGCAGCCTAGAAGACTTCCAGGCCTTCTGGAAAGTCTACAAGACTTCCAAGTCTTCTAGGCAGCCTAAAAGACCCTCAATTTTTCTGTACAGCCTAGAAGAGTTCTAGGTCTTTTAGATAGCCTAGAAGAGCTCTAGGTCTTCTGGACAGACTAGAAGAGTTCTAGGTCTTCTGGACGGCCTAGAAGACCTACAGGCCATCTAGACAGCCTAGAAGACTTCCAGGTCTTCGAGACAGCCTAGAAGTCTTCTGAACAGCCTAAAAGATCACCAGCTCTTCTGTACAGCCTGAAAGGTCTCAAGCTCTTTCAGAGAGCCTAGCAGACTTCCAGGTCTTCTGGACAGGCTTTTGGTCTTCTGTACAGCCTAGAAGATCTCCAGGCCTTCTGTACAGCCTAGAAGATTTCCAGGCCTTCTGAACAACCTAAAATACCTCCAAAAATACTGAAAAATCTTCTGGTCTTTTGGACAGGTTATGAGACCTCCAGGTCTGCTTGACAGCTTGGAAGGCTTCATGGTCTTCTAGATCTCCAGGTCATCTGGACAGCTCAGAAGACCTCCATGTCTTCTAGGTGTCTAAAAGACTCTGAAGTTTGATAGACAGTCTAGAAGACCTACTCGGCCCTTTTTTCAGACCTGCACTTTTTCCAACTAAATTGAATTGAAAATATTGTATCAAAAAACCAAAAATGTCGTATTTGTAAATTACCAGCATGTTGAGGACTATGTGATTTTGGAATACCCTGTATGTCATCGCTAAATGAGACGCTCTTCTCAAACGATACCGATTTGCCTACAAAAAGAGAGTTCGCAGACAAAGATGTTGGGTTAGCAATGGTTTGTGAATGGATGTGAATCTCAGAATTTGGTTTGGAGATCGTGGTTATCCTTTGGCGGGAGATGGAAGGCCATGGAATGAAATTTCTTATTTTTAGTAACATTGGCTTTCCACCTCCACCTCGGCCGTGACTCAAAATACTTACCACAGGCATTCTTACCCAGTTTGGGAGCCTTTTCCCGGACATACTGATCATCTCCGGCACCATTAACTAAAATTGTGAAATTTTCAGTGAAGCCAGGTGAAGAGTATTTGACAACAAAAGCGAGGGAAAAATAAAAAATCCGAGGAAAAATACAGGTGAGGAGTTATGAAAAGCTTGGAGAGAACATATTTTTTTTCAGTGTAAAAATGCGACAAAAAAAAGGTGAAATTTTGTTTACAACAAAATAAAACATAAATTATAATTGAATGTTGTTGTTTTTTTGCTTTTCTTGGCAGATGTTGGCAAAATGTTCATAAAGCGGTGGCGTTTAAATGACAGTAACAATAAACAGAAAATAACAACACAAACAACAACAAAAGATGTTTGGCACCATGAGCGAGCGTTTTGAGTGAACGATTGAAGGAATGAATGAAACCATGTGTCGCTAATTGCGTCTTCTGGCGGCGGGTACTAACTAACATACCATGGCATGGTGTGGGTACTACCAAATAGTTGGGGTCCAATGTTGGCACTGGTATGGGAGCTATTTGTGGATTTTGATTTACCAACGCTTTTTGCACCAGCCCTGTCAAATTGGCCAGCTGTCGTTCCATGTGTTCGACGCGAAAGCGATGCAGGTCTTCTGGCCTAGGGGAATAGAAAAAAAAGGAAAAGAATGAAATTGCAAGTTAGGTTCGGTGGATGATAGTCAAGATGGAAAGAAAACAGCCAAAGCAAGGGACTATTATGGGGTATTTTATTCTGCGAAGCTCCTAGAAGTTTCCTGCGAAAAACTTAATTGTCATATTACTTCCACATATTTCACCACGGTTGAACTTCGACCCACCTGACCCACACATACCATACAGAGACGCCTGGGCCCATAACAACCCACCCTTCCGCGGCATAGCTGTTTATAACGACGATTCAAAGATGGAGTGTGGTATGGGAGCTGGTGTCTTCTGTGATACCCTTAATGTTCGTGAATCCTACAAGCTTGAAAACGACTGTAGCGTATTTCAGGCGGAAATCTTTGGTGGTCAAAAAGGCCACAAACCTGCTGGTCACGAGGAACACTGAGGTCAGCGGTCCGGTGTCCATATATATGTCGATAGTCAAGCGGCACTGAAGGCCTTAAATTCCTTTACTATCAAGTCTAGGGCTGTTTTGAACTACAGGAAAGCCTTGGAAAACACTGGGTTGTCCATCAAGCTCTGTTGGGTTCCTGGCCATTATAACATCCCAGGTAACGAGACTGCAAAGGAATTGGTCAGGCCAGGACCCGAATCAACTACAATTGAGGTAGATAACTCGGTTAAACCACCACTGTGCCACTTCCTACAGGTCATTCATAGACATAACTCTGAGAGAATTCAACAAAAATGGCTGGACGAAATGGCATGCACCATCTCCAAAAGAATCTGGCCCACACTCTCAGAGAAGAGAACAAGCTCGCTACTGTCATTGTCGAAGAGTGATCTAAAACTTTTGGTGGCTATCATCACAGGTCATTGTAAGATGAGGGCTATGACTTCGAAATGGGACAGCGATGATATTGACTACTTTGGGATCTGCCAAGATGAAAAAGAAATCGAGACATTCGAACACTTGCTCTGCCACTGCCTGGCACTCATTAATGTGAGACAGAGACTGGTGGGAGAACTAGTGTCACATGATCTGTCTTTATTTTTCTAACACTGACCCCATAGTAATCCTTCAATTAGCCAGAAAATTCATGTGGCTAAAGACGACACGGCAAACTACTCAGCCGTAGATCACACTCTATAACTTTATCTCTTATCTTCACCTCTTCTATCAACCACTTCTTCCTCTTTTCTTAATATTCTTGTAGGATGAACACAATGGACCTATAGGTCTCCGAGTGGAGCGGTTGCCATATTGTAACCGCGCGTCCTTTAACCTAACCTAACCTTACTCACATATGAAAAATTGTTGCTGGGTTTCTTGATAGATTGTCGCACGAAAATTTGAACTTCAAGAAATGAAGGAAGAAAAAAAATAAATGATGGGAACCTCAAGGTTTTCTGGACAGCCTAGAAGACCTCCAAATCTTCCAGATCTTTTGTACAGCCTAGAAGACCTTCAGGCCTTTTGGACAAAACAGAACAAACAGAAGACCTCCACATCTTTTGGATAGACTAGAAGACTTCCAGGTCTATTGGACAGAAAAGGAGACCTCCAGGTCTTCCAGATAGCCTGGAAGGCATCAAGGTCTTCCAGACAGCCTTATTCTAGGTGACTTATCTGTCATATAACTCTCCTATGGGTGTTCTCTGGCCAGCAAAAATCCCCTGCAGAAATCGTAAATTAATTAAATTTTGAATTCCGGACAGCTAAGAAGACCTCCAAGTCTTCTGAAGAGTCTAGAAGGCTTCCAAGTCTTTTGCACAACTTTAAAGACCTCCAAAAATACTGAAAGACCTCCAGGTCTTGTGGACAACCTAAAAGACCTCTAGGTCTTTTGGACAGACAAGAAGACCTCCTGGTCTGCCAAATAGCCCATATTGTTCCAAACACGATGCCTAACTTATAATACCCCCCTCAATGCATCTCGACTGGCGACGATGAAAAGTTAATGAAATATTTTCATTTGTCATGCTCTGTTAACGATTCTCACTGCACCCATGCTTTCTAGGTCTGTGAGACACTAAAACATTTTTCCAATTTTCCTTTTTGTTTTCCTGCAGTTGTCACTTGCAGTTAAGAGTGAAAAGACCATGGAATCATTTGAGTCGGCAGATTCATGTAGTGGTAAGTAGGAAATAATTGTAATTTTCCCATCAATATATTCCAAATATTTCCTCTCTCTGCCCTCCAGTTACCGATCCCTCGCTGTTCGGAAATTGCCTACAGGACCTATCCATCACTGAGCTATTGGTTTTACAAAAATCTCTAAATAAAGTTGAACTTATTGAGCCTGAGCCAGAAAATCGTTATCTGGAAACAACAGGACCCGATTGTGATGAGACAAAGGATGAGAAGTGTTTCAACCCTTCATCTATGGCCCTCATGGCCGAATCGAGGTATGACATAATTTTCTTGCCTTTTAAAGTTGTTTTTAATTTTTTTTTTCATTTTAGAGGTTATGAGGATCCATCACATCCCGGCTATGCACCAGCATCCCATCACGAGTCCTGGGAAGAGGAAAAACCTTCCAAACTGCAAATATTATTTCAGATTAGTGTCACAGCTTTATCGTTTCTTTCATTTGGAGGATATTTATTGTGTCTGATTGTGCAGTCGATTAAAAGTAAAGGTAAGATACAGTCCGATTCTGATTTCCTAATTTTATTCAGGCAAGAATAGGAAATTTGCACGATAATGGCTTTCAGAATACTACATCTATATTTCATAATGTTAAAAACATGACTAGCAAAGGCACTCAGAGCCATCTGTCTTTGAAAATAATTTCTAAATGTATTTTAAATTTTGTGATGTTTAAAATACATTGAGAACAGACAGATAGCGCTGAGATGAGCTATGACACATATTCTCAGAGAATCTGTACTTAGTTTAGAACAGACATATCAAGAGGCATGCTATGACATTTAGGGCACGCCATCTACATGTGATTTGGTAGCAATTTAGATAACAAAAACGCTTCCTACATTTTAAATACTTTAAGGAAAAATCCAGAGATAGATGGCACTGAGATGCCTCCTCGAAAAATTACCTGAAATAATTTCTACTCAGGCTGTAAGCGACTTTAAGACGTACAGGAAAACCTCTTCCATGCCTCAAATTCTGCCTAAGAAAAATAGCAAAGAAGGATACTGCACGTTTCTCTGTAGAATGAAATATAGATGGCACTATGGCATCATGAATGTCCAGTGGCAGAACAGATGAATTTAGGCAACAATTAAGACTTAATGTACAATTTTTTAAAGGAGAAAGAATGTTCTGGAAAATTGAGAAAATTTAAAAAAAACTAAGGTTTTTTTCTTTGGAGAACAAATTAAAGAATTTTTTCCCCATAAGATTAGGCGACTCTCTTCCCACTATCGAATATTTTTCGCTATAACTGTTTGAAATTGTAATTTATTTTGAATATCATTTTCAGGTTCCACTTATTTCCATCCGATGACCTCAACCATGGCCACCACGACAAATGTGAAACGCATCAAGGTATATCGAAGAAGTCGCCGTTCTTCACTGCCACCTGTTAAAGCCTCGCCCAATTATACAAACAATAAGTATTGGCAATCGGCAAATCCATATCAATATTATTATAAAGAGGATTGAAAAAAAATATTTAATAAAAAAATAAAATTATTTAGAAAGAGGAGGAAATCGAAAATTAGAGAATAGAGCAAAAGGAAAAAAAAGAAATTGATTCAACTTCAATTCTAGATCAAGATCTATGGCTTCTAATTTTGACTGATAAACGGAGGCACTAAAGGTGAGGGTACATAAGCCGCTTGGCATCATGGCTAGGTATATTAATATTAAAATATAAGGGGAAACGACGGCAGGATTCGAATACGGCTCTGGCATACCTTTATGATATTTCATAAAATATGTCATGCGAAGACTTCAAGTTACCCTCATCTTAAACCAGTTCTTAGAAACCGAGTAAAACCGTTCAGACCTCTTTGATACATTAGTGCCATCTGTTGGCAGGTAGAAATAATGGGAACTACAGAAAGTGGCACTTACTGATCATTTAAATAATTTTTGAGAAATTAGAATGGATTATTTTTGCGAGTGGCACTTAAGCTAAGTCAATGAATACCAATTCCCTAGAATGTCCCGAAAAAAAAATCCCAAAAAATTGAATTCCTTACCTTGTCGGATCATACATCTGATTGTTGCGGGGTATACGGCCAGCGGGGCCCATTTTAATGCCATACAGGGCATATTGGTCTTCAGTCATGGTTACTTCCCTGGAAAAGACATAAAAAATAGGAATATAATAAATTATTTAAAAAAAAGAAAGACAAACAAGAAAGGACCAGCATTTTACAAGACGGCCAATTTTGGAACTTCTTTTTTTTGGAATTGTCCTCCCATCTCCACTTACGTTTGTTCCTCATCAATAATGGGTGCTATCACCGTACCCCTTGTTCCATATTGATAATACGAAGGTTCTTCATAATTGCCACGCGTTGAACGTTCCGGGGAACTGGTATAGCCATCTGAAAGTTTTGGGGGAAAACAATTTTTAGAAGTTGGCTTTAGAAAATATATTTTTTTATTAAAACTACTTTTAAAAAATAGTAATTTTAGGAAATTAAATATTTTACTCAATCATTTCAACAAAATTAAAAACTACTTGTTATTCTAACTACTTTCAGATAAATTGTTATGTATGTTTTTTCTTGGTGGTAATAATTTACAATGATCGATGTCAGAGATGCGGAATTGATGTAGTTCCCCCAGAAATTCATTGCGGAAATATGAATTTGAGTATGAAATTAAATGCAAGTGGAATACGTTTAAAGAGATTGTGTATAAATTTTGCGAAGCAGAGTTGAAAAAGTCCTAAAATTTCTTATTATCCTCCTGAAGCCAAAACAGATCACTTTTTGCAGCCAACTTCACTCATATCTTCAATCATACCCCAGAGCCATCTGTTATTCATTGTTGTCTTATTTAGCCATCTCTTTGGTTGGTGGGGGCCTTTGCTAATGTAAATCTAGCCAACAGTAGATGGCGTGTCTTTATTATTCATATCAAATTGCCATACGAATAGTTTGATGGACTTTCCAAGGAATTTGAATATGGTATATACCGAAACTGCAATCCTAAGAGTCCCCAGAAACCCCTTTCTGCATCAAATTGAAACGGGTAATGTGGTACCATACAGACTTCCAGTACAGCTTGGACATGAGTCATATTTGCGACTCTAAATTGGTAAGGATCTCTGCTAAGGTCTGTTTTGTTATTTTCATAAATAGATGGCGCTTAAATATCATCCACAAAAAATAGTCATATGATCCGAAGATAATATTTTAATGACTATATTACTGGCTTGAACTGCAGGAAAATGTTATTTCTAGACTGAAAAATTCCTAGACTACTACCAGAAATAAATTCAAGATATTTCTGGACTATTTCTAAAAAAAATTAGTAACAATTAGGCTGTTCTTTGTGTCCGTTTCCTTGTTCCACAAATAGATGGCGCTTAAATCTTATCCATAAAAAATAGTCATATGATCCGAAGATTAATTTTTAGATACTAAATTTTTCTGGATTGATTTTTGTAGAAAATTTTATTTCTCGACTGAAAAATTCTTAGGCCACGACCAAAAAAAATCCAAAAGATTTCTGGACTATTTCTTTAAAAAAATGTAGCAATATATAAAATATGGTCAAATGACCCGTAGATGTCATTTTAGTGACTATATTTCTGGATTGAACTCCAGGAGAATGTTATTTCTAGACTGAAAAATTCCTAGACTATGACATGAAATCAATTAAGGAGCTTTCCGGACTATTTCTTTAAAAAAAAATAGTAGCAATTGTTGACACGTTCTAGGCTGTTATTTGAGTTCGTTTCCTAGTTCCCCAAATAGATGGCGCTTTTATATCATATATAAAATGGTAATAGGACCCGAAGTTAAGAATTCAGAAAAACGGCCACTATTTGTGGGTTAAACTACAGGAGAAATAAGATTTCTCGTTCGACAAATCCATTAAATACCACCAGAAATAAATTCAGGAGATTTCTGGACTATTTCTTCGAAAAAAAGTAGTAGCAATTCTTTATACGTTCTAGTATGTTATTTGAGCCCGTTTCCTAGTTCCACAAATAGGTGGCGCTTTTATTTCATATATAAAATGGTAATAGGACCCGTAGCTGAGATTTCAGAAAAAACACCAACTTAATTTCTGTTTCTTAGTTCCTTAAATAGATGGCTCTTTTATGTCATCCATAAGATTCAGTGGAACCCTAGACTATTTCTTTGCTAAAATTTAGTAACAAAAGTTGACACCTTCTAGGCTGTTATTTTAGTTTGTTTCCTAGTTCCACAAATAGATGGCGCTGTCAAATCATCCACATAATGTGGTAAAATGACACTGGGCTTAAGTGTCAGAAATAAAGTCGACTATTTCAGGATTGAATCTCAGGAAAATTGAATTTCTAGGCTTACATTTCAAAGCTTTGGTTTGCGACATATTCAGGAAAATATTGGACTATATTTAACCTGAAGTTAACAGAAAATTTGTTATTTGAGCATCTTTCCTAGTTTTACAAATAGATGGCGCTTTCACATCTTCCATATAATGTGGTAAAATGACTCTGGACTTAAGTTTCAGAAATAAAGACGACTATTTCAGAATTGAATCTCAGGAAAATTTATTTCTAGGCCAACATTTTAAAGCTATGGTTTGCGACAGATTTGGGGAAATATTGGATTATTTCTAGGCTGAAGTTTACTAAAAAACCGTAGATTATTTCCAGACAGGAATTAAGTACACATCGTGGACTACAAATTTTATATCAAATCTTGGTTGAAATAATCAGAAAAAGAGCATTGCATATTTTTAGGCAGAAAAAAAATACAAGGAATTGTTGGCTACTTCTAGGCTTAGGGTCTTCTAAATTTCTCCTATATCTAGAAGACCTTCTGGAGCTCTTCCATGTCCGAAAGACCTTCTGAAGCTCATCTACGGCTAGAAGACCTTTTGAAGCCCATCTATGGCTAGAACACTTTCTGAAGCTATTCTACGGCTAGAAGACCTTCTGAAGCTCTTCTATTGCCAGAAGACCTTTTGAAGCTCTTCTATAGCTAGAAGACCTTCTGCAGCTCTTTGATGGCTAGAACACCTTCTGAAGCTCTTCTATAGCCCGAATACCTTCTGAAGCTCTTCCATGGCCAGAAGACCTTCTGAAGTTCTTTTATAGCTAGAAGACCTTCTGAAGTTCTTTTATAGCTCTTGAAGCTAGAAAACCTTCTGCAGCTCTTTTATAGTTAGAAGACCTTCTGAAGCTCTTCTATGGCTAGAAGACCTTCTGAAGCCCTTCTATTGTCTGGAAGACCTTCTAAAGCTCTTCTATGGCCAGCTCTCTTCTATAAAGCTCTTCTATGGCTAGAAGACCTTCTGAAGCTCTTCAATAGCCAGAAGACCTTCTGAAGCTCTTCTATAGCCAGAAGACCTCCTGAAGCTCTTCTATAGCTAGAAGATCTTTTGTAGCTCATTTTCGTCCGGAAGACCTTCTGAAGCTCTTCTATAGCCAGAAGACCTTCTGAAGCTCTTCTATAGCCAGAAGACCTTCTGAAGCTCTTCTTTAGCCAGAAGACCTTTTGAAGCTCTTCTATGGCCAGAAGACCTTCTGAAGCTCTTCTATGGCCAGAAGACCTTCTGAAGCTCTTCTATGACCAGTAGACCTTCTGAAGCTCTTCTATGGCTAGAAGACCTTCTAAAGCTCTTCTATGGCTAGAAGACCTTCTGAAGCTCTTCTGTGGATAGAAGACCTTCTGAAGCTCTTTCATGGCTAGAAGACCTTCTGAAGCTCTTCTACGGATAGAAGACCTTCTGAAGCTCTTCTGTGGCCAGTAGACGTTCTAAAGCTCTTCTATGGCCAAAAGACCTTCTGAAGCTTTCCTATATCTAAAAGACCTCCTGAAACTATAGATAGAAGACCTTCTGAAGCTCTTTTCTAGATAGAAGATCTTCTATCTCTAGAAGAGCTTCTGAAACTGCATCCAGAAGCTCTTCTAAAGCTAGAGAACCTTCTGATGCTTTAGCTTTGTGGTTATTTTCGAAATCACCTCAATTCCGCATCCCTGGTTTAAGGTAATGCCAATCCTTTTTTTTTATTTTTTCTCCATTGATTGTTATATTTGTGTGTGCATGTGTGCGTTTTGTTAATGACAAGTACCTGGTATACTGTATAACTGATCCGGGGGATAAGGAAACAAGGGTTCCATGCTACCCCTGGAGTTGGGCGTTCTTAAAGGTTTCAATGGCGTTCCTAATCAATCACATCATATACATATACATATTTATATTACATAAATGCGGTTAACAACATTTTACAAAAAAATACAAAAACAAAGAAAAACAAAATACAAAATATACAGATCGGAATAGGGTTTAACAAAAATTTGGGAATTTCCAAAGAAAAATTATAGAAATTGGAAAAGAAAACATGCACACAAAGGGTTTATGGGGATCCGAAAAAAAAACAAACAAAAAAAAAAAGACGGGCTAGGTCTTAGGTCTCAACACAATGGAAATTTCAAAAATGAATGCATATCCGAAAAAGTTGAAACAATACTCACCCATGGCCACCTTGTTGCGATCTGTGTACATCCCACGTGGCAGCGTTTGTGAGGCACCCACATAATAGGGGGCCTGTTTGCCAATCTGTAAAGAAAAACGACAACGACAACAACAATGAGTATTGGCTTTTTCTTGTGTTTCGAGCCACAAGTGCTGTGTGGTAATAGCTCATCATTGTCATAATCATCATCAAAGCTGTCTGGGGACCACTTTGTCTGTTTTTATTTTTTTTTTTTGTTTCTTTCCTTTGTTGGCCAGGTTTCGTAAGAAAGCCAAGCCAACATTTCTTTGGCATTTGACCAAGTTTTATTAAACAAATGTTTACAGCATTGTTATTTACATGCAACATGAACGGCAACACCTTGGCTTCTGGAAGCCAAGCGAAGACACCCATACACATACAGCTATCCTCTCTTATGAGCCATAATTTCACTTTTTTATGAAGTGTTTATGGCCAATTTGTGGGTAATTGACCAACAATAAAGGCTTAAATGTTTTGTTTGTTTTTGTATTTTCCAGTTCCCTGCCACAAATTTCCTTTTCCCCCCTCAATGAGTTTTTATTGCACAAAAAGGCCACTCTACCCCTCCCGCTCCACGGAAATCTCAACAACACCAGAATAGAGAGCAAAAGAAAGAATAGTGGAAAAAATAGTGCCAAGTTCTTGGTCATCAGCACTTTGCCTTATAAAAATAGTTTTTTCTTTTCATTGGTGCTGTGTTGTTGTAGTTTGCTGTTGTTGCTGTTTTACAATAAACGGCTTTGTTGTGCTTTAATTAGCATCCATTTATGGTTAAAGGCATGACCATAATAAAATCAAAGGTGTGCAAATCTGTGTGCAAGGCATTCAATGGAAACTGTTGGCCAACGAAGCAGTCAGGTTGATTGCGAGAGGGGTGCTACTCTGAGGGAAATGTGTGTGGAAAATGTTTAATATATAAAGGAAAAAGTCATAGTTTTTAAATCAGGCAATAAACCTTTAAATATAAAAAATCCCACTTGGGCGCCACTGTACATTCAACGGCCCATTGGAACTTTAAAATGAAATTCTTAAGGTTTTTAACCTATAACCGTGCGAGGTGAAATTTTGGAACGTATTTTATGACGTGGTGGTAAATTTTACCCCCTCTTAATTTTACAAAAAAAAAAAATATTTAAAAATAATTTTTAATAATTTTTTGTTTTTTTTTTATTTAACAAAACATACACTTTTATTAATCGGCACAGGCACTTTAATTAAATTTTACACTTTTTGTAAGTAGATGGCCTTTGACCGGGACTTGAGATTTTCCCATCTGAATATGTCCGGCACCGCAGAACGCGAACCCAAGAATTCTAAATTTTAAACTTCTTGTACGTTAAGAGAGAGAGAGCGAGAGAGAGAAATGTACCACCACATCACATCAGGGCTGACTTTTCTCCCTCCACTAGAAAGACTTCTTGGCCTGCAAATGGAAAGACACTTATTCTGCTAAGAAGAAACTCTATTGGTCAACCATTAGTGGCTTCCTATACCTTTTATATAAAAATAATAAATTTAAAATTAATTCATATTTAGTCCAGTTATAGTTTAAATCACTATAGAAGAACCATGTAGTTGTTCAGACCTTCTGAAGCTCTTCTATGGCTAGTAGACCTTCTGAAGCTCTTCTATGGCTAAAAGACCTTTTGAAGCTCTTCTATGACTAGAAGACCTTCTGAAGCTCTTCTATGACTAGAAGACCTTCCGAAGCTCTTCTATGGCTAGTAGACCTTCTGGAGCTCTTCTATGACTAGAAGACCTTCTGAAGCTCTTCTATGGCTAGTAGACCTTCTGCAGCTCTTCTATGGCAAGAAGACCTTCTGAAGCTCTTCTATGGCAAGAAGACCTTCTGAAGCTCTTCTATGGCCAGAAGACCTTCTGAAGCTCTTCTATGGCTAGAAGACCTTCTGAAGCTCTTCTATGGCTAGAAGACCTTCTGAAGCTCTTCTATGGCTAGAAGACCTTCTGAAGCTCTTCTACGGCTAGTAGACCTTCTGAAGCTCTTCTACGACTAGTAGACCTTCTGAAGCTCTTCTATGGCTAGAAGACCTTCTGAAGCTCTTCTATGGCAAGAAGACCTTCTGATGCTCTTCTATGGCTAGAAGACCTTCTGAAGCTCTTCTATGGTTAGAAGGCCTTCTGAAGCTTTTCAATGGCTAGAAGGCCTTCTGTAGCTCTCCTACGGTGAGAAGACCTTCCGAAGCTTTATTACCTTATTCCATGAATGCCTTCTGAAGCTCTTATACGGCTAGTAGACCTTCAGAAGCTCTTTCATGACCTTCTACAGTTTTTCTGTAGCTGAGAGACCTTATGAAGCTAGAAAACTGAGCCCCTTCCGTACATAGGGCATATTTTCTGAAACCCTTCTATATTAAAAGATCTTTTGAACAGTATGAACGCCTTTCTCTGGTCGATGGAGGAGGAGCATTCCCATTCGCATTTCAATAAGGAGGTGCAGGAGCCCATAAACTCTGTTGTTCTGAGATAAGAACTTCCTGTTATATTTCGAGAATAACTTTCATTCTTTTTTTTGTAAGGAACCTTTTTTATATTATATAAGAGGATATTTTCTCTCTACGGCATTTCTTACAAAAGGGAGCGAAGTTTTATGTAAGACTAGAGTAAATACTTTTTTTCTCTTTTATAAAAATAAATTTCAGAAGAAATGGTTTCAAAAGGGCTTCTTAATTTTTTATAAGAAAAGCTTTTTGTTATGCTACACAAATAATTATATTTCCTCTCTTCTACTGAAAGGACTTTCTTCTCTGCAAAAAAAAAAAAACATCTCTCGTGACTATGAAAAGGGCTTTGCTAACTTCTGCAAACGAATATTTCCTTAGCGAGACGATCTTCCAGAAAATAACTTCCTAATCTTAATAAAGAAGAAACGCTTCTGCTGCTTGTAAAAAGTTTTAAATCCTAACCAAGAAAATTTTCAGTTCCTCTACAGGTTGACACTTAAGTTCCATAAGAAGAGCTTTTTAGATCTACTAGAAATAGTCCTTGATCCTATCTCCTAGTGAGCATTTTTTATACCCTCCACCATTTTATGGAGGATATATTAACTTTGTCATTCCGTTTGTAACTCCTCGAATTAGTCATGATAGACCCTACCAAGTATATATATTCTGGATCCACTATCTTTCGAACGAATTGAGAAGCCTGAAATGTTGCATACAGTGTGAGATAAAAAAGTCTGCAACAAAGTCAAACCCCATAATCTTTAGATTTTTTTTAATCCCTTTATTGTTGTTTTTTTATAAAAACAACGTTTGTTTATTGTGGAGAACGATGTTTCAATTTAATTGAATGAAAGCAAAAAATGTCAGAAATAGCATCAAATTTTAGAATAACTTTAGATTTGTTCGAATTGGTCAACTTTGGTACGAATTATGGCTTTCAAACGGCCAATGAAACCGTCACACGCTGCCCGAATTTTGCTCTGCGGAATTTCGGCCCATTTCCGGCGAAGTGCTTGCTTAAGGTGATCAACTATTTGGTATTTTTTAGTGCCAAACTGGCTTTCCAAAATACTCCAGACACAATAGTCAAACGGATTGGTGTCCGGAGATTTTGATGGCCATTGTGCGCATATGGAAATGAAGCGAGGAACCTTATTTCGTAACCATTCTTGGGTGGCGCGTGCTGAGTGCGATGGTGCTGAGTTCTGTTGGAATGTTCAAGGTCTACGGCAAATAGGTTTGTGTTCCCAAGGCTTTAATACACCCTCCAGAATATTTTGCGCGATAATATCCGGCATTTATTCTGATGCCACGGTCGATTAATACGAACGAGTTCTGGTGGCCAACCGATGGTGAAAATTTTCAGCTGACCTCTTTGGCAAGTAAACACGATAATTTTGTTTGTTTACAAACTGCTGGACAACGAATGTTTTCTCATCGGAGAAGGGAGAAAATCAAATTCGGCAGTTCACCACTTTGGGCCAAGCGAAGCAACTCTTGAGCTCTTTTGAATCTATTTTCTTTCTCTTGCGGTGTAAGTTCTTGCACTTTTTGGAATTTCAATGGCTTCACCCCTCCGATCTCATTTTTCAATAGTTGCCGAATGGAATATTGCGATATGTTCAGCTCACGAGGCATTTTTCAGCCACTGCGACGCGGGTCGCTTCTTTACTTTCAAACCATTTCTGCCGATGTTGCTGTTTTCTTCCGTCCACTTCCTTGACTTCGTCGAGCTACACTATCAGTATCTCGGTAACGAGCGATGGTACGAGACCCAAAAGATTTATTCACATTTCAGTGCTGGAGTGCTCCAACGATAGCCACTTGTGGTTTTCCACCCAAATATAAAGAAATCAATAGAATCGAAGGCCTCCTTGAGGTATTCTAGAGAGTAGATGGCCTCCTTGAGGTCTTCCATGGAGTAGACGGCCTCCTTGAGGTCATCTATAAAAATGAAGACTTCCTTGAGGCCTTCTATAGAATAGAAGGCTTCCTAGAGGTCTTCTATAAAATAAAAGGCTTCCTAGAAGTCTTGTATGGAATGGAAGGTCTCCTAGAGGTCTTCTATGGAAAATAAGGCCTCTTAGAGGTCTTCTATACAATAGAAGGCCTTCTCGAGGTATTCTATACAGTAGAAGGCCTCCTAGAGGTCTTCTATACAGTAGAAGACCTCCTAGAGGTCTTCTTTACAGTAGAAGGCCTCCTAGAGGTCTTCTTTAGACTGAAATCTTGTCGATAGAAAGCACCCTCTTCTCTCTTGGAGGAGCAGAAAATACTTGGTTTGGGAGGTCAGAAGAATAAGAGAAGGATATGTTTAAATGACAGAACTAAAAAAAATGATTTCTTTAGAGAAAATATCTGTTATGGAGGAGAGTAAAACATTGTAATTTTTTTCAATGAAACTTATTTAAAGGATTTCTATGATGAGACCAAGAGGCCCTTGTTATCTTCCTTGAAAAGCGAATTTAAAAAAAAAAAATCGTTAATCTATTCTATGACCATTTGTAAACTCTCTTTCACTCTCTCTCTCTCTCTCTCTCTCTCTCTCTCTCTCTCTCTCTCTCTTTCATGGTGGGGTGAAGGCATTTTCTTTACCAAGACTCTTTTAGTATTCTGCCTTACAATAGACGAATCTTGTTCTTTTTCCTCAAAAAATTGCAACATTTTCTTGTGTAACATGAAAAATGTTTCTAGTTTTCCGTTTTTTTTTTTTTTTTTTTTTTTTTTTTTGAGAAAAATTCCATTACAATGTTGTCTAGCAGAGCTGATTATGCGAGATTGTGGCCAAAAGATTTGGTGCGGTGCGTTACGCAAATATTCCATTAAACCGGCTTAAAATGAGTTAATTTGCAAAAAAAAAAACAAATCCGAAGCAAAAAAAAAATATTTTAAAAATAAAATTGAAAGTAGTAAGAACTGGTCAGAAGCCAATGAATGTGGCCGGCCAACGGACGTGACATATTGACAAATTGCCCGGGTAATTTGTTGTCCATGGGAAAGCAACAAAATTCCCGTTAGACAATTTCAATTCCAATTAGCTATTACTGGAATGTAACAAATGACTCTGAAAGACTCCCAGTGCCAGCTGTGTTACATGAAGGGTGTCTTTCGGGCAAAAAAAAAAAATGGATGAATGAATGGCTGACTGATTGACTGTCTGGCTTACTGCCTGAATGAATGAATGCTGCATTGTTTGTTTTTCTTTCTTTCTCTGGGCGTCTTAATCAAGCCATTACGAACCAGTCCAATGGCCCGAACCCATGCCACTTTTGAGTTATTTGCATCAGCTATCAATTACCCCACAAAAAAAAGTCGATTTGTGGTAACACTTCTTGGCTTTGTAACAGCCTCAGACTATGGAAATTACAAGCCATTGCCCACACACCCAACCACACGAGCTCGTGCTTCAGATTTCAGTTTCATTTGGCTTTAATAGTGACAAAGCTCTTTTTGTTTTTGTTGGTGCCACCAAGACTATGTGTGGCGGGGCTTAACTGCAATTATTTTGCCAAAACAAAAGAGCTTTTCTTTTATATTTTTATTACTTTTGTGTGTGTGCGTGTGTGTGTTTCGGCTGGGAAAGGCACGTAGGAAGCTTTGCTTTCAATGGCCAGACTTGAGCTTAGCTGCCAAGTTTTGAGCTGGCGCCCAACGCCACAACTCCCTGAGTGGGGCTCAAATTTGCTGTTAGTCTCTGGCGGATCTTTGTGGTAAACGGACGCGTTCATGGCTCAGTAAAAAGCGTGGAATAATAAAAATTTCGTCGAAAAACCGTTAACTTAATAGCGACAAAAAAACCGTTTAATTAGCCTCCTCTTTGGAGCTACTTGTGATTTTAGCGCAGCAAAACAAAACACCGTTAATTGGGTTATTTTTCATTGAGCGTGTGCGACAAGGAACCATACACCGCCAAGCGGGTTTTATTTTGTCAACCTGCAAAAAAAAAAAAATGTCTCTGATTTACTTATTTCTACTAATTGCCAGTAGCCAAGGCATTTTAGGCCATGCCTGGAAGCCCATAGTGGGCCATTTACCGCCGGCCACCTCAACGATAAGTGGTTCCAAGGCAACCTCAGCCACATTTACAAGTTCGTTTAGTCTGCAGCAATCGCATCCTGAATATGGCAGCAAGGCAGGATATGCCAGCGGCGGCGAAGCAGCTGTGGTGGCCACGCCCATTGGTGGGCCCAAGGAATTACTGATCAAAGAAATACCCAGCCTACCAGTGGCTGAGCCCGCAGAGGAGGCCATACCGCTCAAGTCCACAATTAAAACCTTTGCCACTGCCGCTCCGGCTGCCATTAATTTCGGGGATGCTAGATTTGGTTATAAGGGGGCTGTGGCATATAGTGAGGTAAATTTCGAGACCTCTTCCACTCTCCTAAAAAAGGAAAATTCCTTAATTCCGAAAATTCTTCTTTACTTCTCTAATTTCTTTGTTGTATGTCCCCCAGGACCAGTGTTCGGTAAAGAAATACGCCTTCAATCACGATGGCATTGTGGAGTACGACAATGAGGTCCCGGAACTAGCCCAATTTACCATTTGTTTCTGGATGCGTTTTACCAATCACAGTGGTGACCATGTCGTTTTAACCTATGCAGGTAAGTTGGGCTAATAGCCGTTAACGGATTTCCTATTCATTAAGGTGTGTTTGTGTGAATTTCTGTGGTAATTAGAGTGCTGGTATGTTGTAGTAAGCGGATTTTTTGTTGTTGTTTTTGATGTCGTAAAGAATGTTGAGGGAATTCTAAACCGCATTTCGATACCATGTAAATGGTATTAATCATTGAGAGATTTTTGAAATGCAGAACAATGGACTGGCAGATGTAAGAATTTTTAGATTTTCTCCCCCACACCTTCTCCCTTCAAGATTAAGAATCTATGGAGAAATTAATTTTGAAACCCAAAAAGGCTGAGTTTTCCACCTATCAAACAGAAGTCAGAAATACCCCCTATGAAAATTTAGAGAAGAAATAAGATATCCCTCTCAAATTCAGAAATGAGGCTATGTAAAAAATTTCAGGTCCCAGTTTTGAAGGGGAGAGGGAAAAATCTCCAAAGTAAATAAAAAATCAAACAAGTAAAAAACAGCCAAGTTCGGCCGGGATGAACTTTTAATACCATCCACCATTTGGTAGGAATTTAAAAAATTTCAAAAAAAAAAAAAAAAATCCTTCAAAAATACCGCTTAAATAAAAGCCCTTCTATGGGGAATATACGAAGACGTGGGTCGGCATAAGTTTTTTTTTTATTTTTCGATCACAGGCTATAGTCCCCTTTAGGAACTTCATATACGAAATTTCAAACAATTCCGACCTAAAATATAGCTAAAATCATCAAAATACCGAATATCGGGAGGTAACCGTTATATGGCGGCTATACAAAGACGAGAACCTGTATATGTAATTTTTTGTCACAGGCTGTGCCACCCATTACGAACTTCAAATACGAAATTTGAAACAATTCCGGTCTATAACGTCACTAAAATCACCAAAATACCGAATATCGGAAGGTATTCGTTAAATGGGGGCTATACAAAAACCTACACCTGGATATGCAATTTTTTGTCACAGGCTGTGGTACCAATTACGAACTTCAAATACGAAATTTGAAACAATTCCGGTAAAAAAAAATGCCAGAATGTATGAGAATGGTCCCAAAAATTTTTGAAGTAGACTCTCTCTCAATCTCCTCCCCATGAAAATCAGGAAACTGTCTCCTAAAATAAACCCCCTTAAAATTAGGAATGCTCTTTTCCGTCTCAAATTAACCAATCCTCTTAAAAATTAAGAATCTGCACAAAACCAAAAAAATGGTCGGAAAAGGACTAAAAAGTCTCCGAAAAGGACTAAAAAGTCTCCGTTTAGATACTTGCATTACCGACCCTCAACTCAGGATCAATTCAAATATTTATCGCGATTTTTACAAAAAAAGGAAGGTATTGTTTTACCCATGTGATTAGACAGGCTATATATCATTTAATACAGTCAAAACGTGCCTCTTTGTCTCTTTGGACCAAATGCGTTTCAGGACATTTGGAGTCGAACTAGCGATGTCCGTTCGTTTGTCTGTTGTGCACGATAACTCTCGAAGGCAGTATCCAAACTTGGTCCAATCTTGGCACAACCTAATATTATTATCAAACTTAGATCAAGTTCGGAGATGGGCAATACCGGTCCACTCCTTCTGGTACCTCCCCCACAAAAAAAATTTTTTTTTTTTTTCTGCACAGAAAGAAAAACGATAATCGGATTCTGCTCCAACTTTGCAAATTCTAATATTTGCGTCAGGTGCGAACATGGACAATATCGGTAAACTCCATCAAGTACCTCCCCCCCAAATGTTCAACATTTTGAATAATTATAACTCTTATAAAATATGATGTAAGAGTTGAATTATCTTCAAATTTCACACATCCCAATATTTTTTATTAATCCAAGATGCTAGGATCTACTCCTTCTGGTATCTCCTCCACATAGGGTCAAAATTTTGAATATCCATGCAGCTCAAAAAAATGCGAAATTAACAATCGATTCCATTCAGACTTGGCACATCTCAATATTTTCATCAATACAGGATCTGTTATAAAGATGGTAGAGATCGGACCATTCCTTCTGGTACCACCCCCCACAAGGGGTCAAAATTTTGAATACCCATAACTATCATAAAATCGGAAATAAGCATCTGGTTCTGGGAGTAGGCGATATACTCCAAATGTGGCACATTGTAATATTTATTGCGTCAGATACCAATTGGACAATATTGCTCCTCCTCCATCAATAGTTTGAACAATCATAACTCAAGGCTGGGGGTATACATCTGTCGGCAAAACCGACTGATACTATATTACTTGCATTTACAAAATTTTACAAATTTAAAACTTCGTTACCATAATTGGCCCTCCCAGAAAAGTTTAAAATAATAGCTTTAGTAATTTGGTCTCATAGTTAAAAATGAAACATTTACTTCAGGTATAGATGGCGTCCTTTACAAATAATTATCTAATGTAGGGATAGTTCTCAAGCAGCCGGATGTTTTTTTAATTCCGAATAGTTGGAAGAAAGCAATGTAGAATTATGTTCTTGGAGCGGGAAGAAGTATTAAAATGACCGGATTAAAATTGAAATGTAGATGGCGTTCTTCATATGTTTAAGTATTTAATTGTATTTTATTACCCTACACCATAATCGGGCGAAAATCCCAGTATACCTAACGATATCAGTGCGTTCTGAAGGGCGTGGAATTTCACTTATAGGAAGTACTTATTCTAGGAAGGATAGGAAGTTCCTAATCCAAAGAGCCACTAAACTTTCCAAATGTTCCAGAAATGAAATGTCAAAGATTTGGATGAGTTTTGAGCTGTTTCTTCCTCGTAGCTTGTATTAATATCCCATTTAATTTAATATCCTGTCAAACTGGATTCAAAAATAAAAATTTTGTTTGCATATTTTATTTTAAACACCATTGGCACACTTTCAAATTTATTCATTGATGAAAAAAAGACGAAAAATCCTGTTCGGAATCTTCCGCTTATACAAATGACCCATTGAATTTCATATCAACTTGAAGTGGTTGAATGCATCATAGCCATTTGTTAATAAAATTATTTCCTTACACTTCATGCATATATGCATCCTAACGGATTTGAAATGTCTTCCTTCTAATATCCATTACAACATTGGCAGATCTTCTTCAGTTTCCCAGACTTTGTTAGACTCTATCGAGATTTGGTCAAATGTTTACCTACTTCGAGAGAGAGAAAGATGTTTGTGGTTGGATGGCTGTTTGGCTGCTGCTGCTGGCATCCTCCTCATCTGCCATTTGAAACTTCATACCCGCACATGTATGCTGTCGGTTGCGCAAGAGTAATTTTGGGTTATGGAGTTTTTTTAGTTTTCGTTTTTCGTTACTTTTTTTTTTGAGTATTCCCAAAACATTATTAAATGCACGGAGGAAAAAAAGTGAAAGGAAGCCAACTTCCTGCTGCATGTGCCACCATCATCGTCATTATGATCATTGGCATCGTGCTTGGTCTAAAGCACCAAAGTGTTTCTCTTCTTGGTGGGGTATTTCAATGGCCACGTTTTGTTTGAAGTCTTTGACAAGTCAGGCGAAAACTTGAAAAGAGTTTTTCTTGCGGTTTTTTTTTCGTCAGGGTTGCCTTTTTGGTATTTGTTTTTTTTTTTCAAACGTAGGTATTCAAGAGATGACAATTTTATAGGAGCTTCATACAAAAAAATTTCGAAACGTATCAAGGTATGGAAAAGCTCCTGAAGAGCTAGAAGACCTTCTGAAGCTCTTCTATATCTAGAAGTCCCTCTGAAGCTCGACTATAGTTAGAAGACCTTCTGAAGCTCTTCCATGGCTAGAAGACCCTCTGAAGCTCTTCTATAGCTAAAAGACCTTCTGAAGCTCTTCTATAGCTAAAAGACCTTCTGAAGCTCTTCTATAGCTAGAAGACCTTCTGAAGCTCTTCTATAGCTAGAAGACCTTCTGAAGCTCTTCAATGGCCAGAAGACCTTCTGAAGCTCTTCAATGGCCAGAAGACCTTCTGATGCTCTTCAATGGCCAGAAGACCTTCTGAAGCTCTTCAATGCCCAGAAGACCTTCTGAAGCTCTTCAATGGCCAGAAGACCTTCTGAAGCTCTTCAATGGCCAGAAGACCTTCTGAAGCTCTTCAATGGCCAGAAGACCTTCTGAAGCTCTTCTATAGCCAGAAGACCTTCTGAAGCTCTTCAATGCCCAGAAGACCTTCTGAAGCTCTTCAATGGCCAGAAGACCTTCTGAAGCTCTTCAATGGCCAGAAGACCTTCTGAAGCTCTTCAATGGCCAGAAGACCTTCTGAAGCTCTTCTATAGCCAGAAGACCTTCTGAAGCTCTTCAATGGCTAGAAGACCTTCTGAAGCTCTTCTATAGCTAGAAAACCTTCTGAAGATCATCTATAGCCAGAAGACCTTCTGAAGCAATTCTATAGCTAAAAAACCTTCAGAAGCTCTTCTATGGCTAGAAGACCTTCTGAAGCTCTTTTATGGCCTTCTGAAGCTCTTCTATGGCTAGAAGACCTTCTGAAGCTCTTCTATGGCTAGAAAACCTTCTGAAGCTCTTCTATGGCTAAAAGACTTTCTGAAGCTTTTCTATGGCTAAAAGACCTTCTGAAAGTCTTCTATAGCTAGAAGACCTTCTGTAGCTCTTCTATGGCTAGAAGTCCTTCTGAAGCTCTTCTATGGCTAGAAGACCTTCTGAAGCTCTTCTATGGCTAGAAGTCCTTCTGAAGCTCTTCTATGGCTAGAAGACCTTCTGAAGCTCTCCTATAGCTACAAGACCTTCTGAAGCTCTTCTATAGCTACAAGACCTTCTGAAGCTCTTCTATGGCTAGAAGACCTTCTGAAGCTTTTCCATAGCCAGAATACCTTCTTAAACTCTTCTATAGATAGACGACCTTCTTATGCTTTTCTTTGAAAAGAAGGTTTCTATGGATAGAAGACCTACTGAAGTTCGTCCATGTATGGAAAACCTCTTGAAGAACTTCCATAGATATATAGGCTTTAAAAGATCACAAAGCTCTCTTATTTAAAAATTTGATATCTTGGAGGTCTTCCAT